TTTTGGACAATTTTTTGAGTTTTTTTTGGTTTTCAAATATGTTTCGTCGAAAATCCCCGTGTAGGGGGACAGGCCCGACATAACTCGAGGATGAAAGGATCGTGGATGTAGTGAGCATGAGCTTCAGATGTTCGTAGAGACGAATTTGTTTAAATATAGTTTTGGGCCTCTGGGAGGATCCTCTTCGCTACGGCTGGGTTCCCGCATAATTTTCTTTGGTCAGAGTGCGACTCGGGAGAGGTCCTGGGGCCAAGATCTGGGAGGAGGACTCAAGAGATCACTTCGAATGTCTTGACCAAGACCAATGCGGAGTTAGTTGGCCACATGGGGCGTCCACAGGTCGCTTTCGGGCCAGGACCATCAAAGCCGATCCAGGACGAAACCCGGTCCCCGGAATGGGGTCGACATTTCAAAGGCCGTATACATCTCCAGGCCGAGAGTTTTTTCCTCTTGGCGCTGAACCTCACGGTCCCACGCGGTGCACGGGCCCTCTTGGAAATCATAGCGGCGAACCCAATGAGGGTCGCACGGATCCGATTTCCAACGTTACCGTAATCGTGAAATCGCGGCGGATCCCATTTCCGATCGCGCGGATCCCGTTTCTGATTTTCGGGATCCGCGTCGGACCCCGCTTTTCACGGCGGATCCCATTTCTACGCCGTTTTGACTTCCTAATATTCATTTCGTTCCGGGAACCGACAAGGATGGGATCCGTCGACCGCGGGCCCCACCCCCCCCGTGTTAAGATTCCACGGGGGACGGGGGCGGTCCTCTTGACGTCAAGAGGAAAATCTTCCGTCCTGCGTAAGTATAGAGGAAAGTCATGACTTCGGACGTGCGGGTGACCAGGTGGTGTCCACTCTGGCTCTACCCAGCCACTACGCCTCGCGACTCCGCACAAAATTCTTGCGGGCGCCATGACTATCATGCCTATTTCTCCAGCCACGTATTCACCAAGGATGATAGGGATCAGGAGGTGGAGCAGGAGTCTCCCAGAAGGCATTTGGCTACCCTTTCCCTCCTCCCGTACTCGTCTCTCCACTTCCCCATTCCTACATCCTTCAGCCTCTCCACTCCTCCACCCGTCTCCCACTTCTTCCCCCTTGCCCTCCGCAACCCTTTTTTCATCTCCTTCTTATCCACTGAAAAACCATTCTTGGAAAGAGCACGGGAGGATGTCTCTGAGCATCGGCGCCATGAGCCATGGGAATTCCCCCGCTTCAATACGTAATATGTGGTTCCGCCCGCGCATCCTTCCCCCTTGTGGTGTTGTCTGTTCTCTGGCTCACCGCGTGCGAGTTGAGCTGGTCTTTGGCACCCGCACTGTGGGTCGTGGACCATCTCAAAGCAACGCTCTCAGAAGCTCATGATTGACTCCAAACAAACGACCCACCTGCGGCCCTCCAGATTGCGCTACGGCCCATCGGGGGCATTAGCGTATACCACGCAAAAGCCCACGCCAGATCTTTTGGTATGCGTTAAGCCCTGTGGGGCCGTAGGTGGGGTGGTGTCGTTTGTTTTCTGGTCTACGTGATCTCTCCACAGGTGGAAACTGAGGATGCAAGCACGTGCCCAAGTGGCCTGTCTCCCTCGCATGTTTTCGATGAGCAGTGAGCAGACGCTGTGCGTGATCGATGCGGTTCGAACGAGAGTCGAGCTCGCGTTGGCTGGAAGGATTGTCGTTTACAGGTATCGTTCGCTTGAAGTTGGGCTCCAAGAGCATGGCCGCACACTGGAGATGTCTCAGCTTTTGAAGGGTTGCTTTCTTCGGATGTCCTGGTGCTAACTTTGACGGCATGCGATGGCTTTGGTTATGTTTGCATCGCCCCTTCTGCTTTCCTCCTCCTTCTCCCAAACTTGCGTTGAAAACACCGATTGTCGTCGGGACGGGGAAGCAATGGATTTTGGAAGAATGGTTGTATTCAGGGGTGGAGAGCACATGGTTAATTCAGGACGAGCGGCGAACACGATGCTGGATAGGAGTCGCAGGCAGAGCGATTCCAACTGGCGCCACCGTGGCAGGAGACGTACAAGGGAGAGCTGAAGTTCCTGGCGCTGAAGGACCGCCCGCTGAGGAAAGCGGTGGCCAGTTCAGGGCACGCACGGGTCCCCCCCTCGCCCTCTCCTCCTGCTCCCCCCGCCCTGTCCCCACCCCCCCACGCACACAAATTGTGACGTTGCGCCCGCTGAAGGACAGCCTGCAGCGCTAGTTGTGAAACGCATAATAGAGGCAGGCCTGTGCCCTGCAGCAGTACGGACGAAAGGACGGCGCCTCTGGGCTGTAGACACAATTGGAGTCAGGGCATCCAGACTACGCTGCAGGGCCAGGTAGAGCAAGGAACGCCCCCCCCCCCCCCCCCCACCAACCATCCCCCCACATCCCCATCCTCTTCGCCCCCCTCCTGTCCTCCCGAGCCTCAGCCTGGTGAGCGACACCCAGGGGCTGGGCTTGCCGTGCCTGCCAGTCAGACTCGTGCAGATCTCCTCTTCCCCCCCCCCGCCTTCCTCTTCCCCCACGTCCCCATCCACGTCTTCCCCCGCATCCCTTCCCCCTCCCGCCTTCGTCTTCCCACATCCCACATCCCACATCCCCATCCTCGTCTGCCCCCCCTGCCCTCCTCTTCCCCCACGTCCCCACCCTCGTCTTCCCCCCCTCCCGTCCTCCTCCTGAGCTCCCCCCAGGCCCCCGTGAGCGACGCCCGGGGGCTCGGCCCGCCGTGCCCGCCGGTGCGCTCGCCTCGGGGGGGGGGGGCAGGTCGGGCTCCCGTGCCGAGAGGGTGCGCCGCCGCGACGGAGGGGAGCCTCGGCGGTGCCCCCCCCTCTTGCGCTGGCTCCCTCGCCCTCGGGTCTCCAGAGGGAGGGGCGAAGGCTGCGCAGATGACGAACGGACAGCACGCACCCATACCCATAGGGGGGTCGTTGGGAGGAGGACTGGCTATGGGTATGGGTGCGGGTTGTCGGACCCTGGGGAACGCTCCCGTTCGAGCGGGGACCCCCATCCGTCAACACGCACCCATAGCCCTCTCCGACCCCCCTATGGGTATGGGTGTGTGTGTTGTTGGTTCGTCAGCAGAGTTCCCCGATTCCAGGATCCGAGGGAGGCAGGAGGGCACCAACGATACACCAGCACCGAGCCCAGGAGCGGCGTGTACGCCCTCCTGCCTGGGGCAGGAAGGCATATGCACCGATCCTGGGCCCAGGATTGGCCTGGCCAAGGTCGGTGCAGGTGCGGAGTTTTGGTGCCCTCCCAGAGGAGCAAACGCCACGAGCATAAACTTTTGGCTCTCCGCGCGGAGCGCCAAACGTTTATGTTTATGGCGTTTTTTTCTTCCTCTAAGGATGCCTGGGCCGGTCACCAAGGCTCGGGCAGAGCTCCAGTGGACAGACGAGCAGGTCCGAGGAGAGTCCTGCGGAGGGTCCGCTCAGGAGCAGCGAGCCGCGGCAATGACCGCAGGTGCGCACGGCACGCATCGGCGAGCCCATCCCGAGCTGGTCAGTGGGGAGGGGGAGGTTTAGCCTCAGGTGAGCGACGCAAGCAAGTCGGGTCATCTTCGCCAACATTGGCGCGTGAGCTGCTCGCGAAAGGTCGCGCGTGAGCGCCCTGGTCTCCAATGTAGCGTGCCGCGCTGGCCGCCCGCGTGAGCCGCCGCGTCAGTTCGCTACGTTATCTAGCGTAAGACCCGTTTTTGATCGTCGCCCAGGTGGGAGGGTGATCAGTCGAATGCTCCCAGGCGCGTGCTTCTCTTCTCTTCTTTTGCTTGCTCGTGCGAGGCCCAGGTCCCGCGTGCGTCCCACGGCTGAAGCATGACCGCGGTGGGCATGCTCGAACCGAATCCCCCCTCCGTAGGCCGCAGAGGTACGGCAGATGCGTGCGGCGATGGCGCGTCGGCGGCGCTGGCGAAGGCGCTGAGGGTTGGTCTCCGCACGATGCAGCGACGCGGACGAGCCGAGGGGCGCGCTGACGCCACAGGACCCGACGGAGTTCAACCTGGAACGATCGGGGCCGCGATCGGTTCAAGGTGGAACGAGCGACGCGGCGTCACAAGCCGTTTCGCGCGCCGACGCGGCGCGAACCTACTCAGAGTTTCTTAATCTGCGTCGGGGGGCGTCACCCCCGCCGACAGCCCCACATCGACCCCCGGTCGCGGGCAGCCACCGCGCGCCAGAGGCGCTCCGATCCCCGTCGCGGCGCGACGACGGGGCGAGCATGACCCCCGTCGGAGGGGATACCCCCCCCCGTACTGGGCTGGCCTCCGGCCAGTGCCGCTGATCCGGGGGGGGGGTTCTATACCCCCCTGTCCTCGGGTACCGAAAAACGTCGGAAATGGCGTCGGAAATAACGTACGCCCCCCCCTCCAGAGAGAAGCTTGAGCGAGCTCAAGTCCACGCTCTCAGAAACTCACACGCCGGATCGGCGGATTTTAGCGAACGAGCCTGCGCAAGCCGGCCTCGTGGAGAAAGAGAGCCCGCGCACCCCGCCTCGCCGCGAGAGCCTCCCGCGGGGTTGCCGCCCCCGTCCGGCGGGGCCCTCCCACGGGCCCGACCTGCGGCCGAGGGGCGCGCTGCACGGGATGCCCGGCGGCCGCGGCGGGGGGGGGAGGGGCTTGGCGGCGCGCAGAGGGGGGTAGGGGGAGGGGGGAGGGCTTCTTAGAAGGAGGCTGCTTCTCAGAAAGCGCCCTCTAAGAAGCAGGGGTGCTTCTAAGAAGCCTTCCCCCCTCCCCAATACCCCCCCTGTGCGCGCCGCCGAGGGGCCGATCACGCAGGATGGAGAGGACTCTGGACGCTCTCGGACCTCCCCAGATCTCCGAGGATCTGGGGTTTCAGTCCGGGCGTTCTTCCTCGACGTCGGCCTCTGGGGCGAGAGCCGGAGCTGGGACGAAGAACTCCCCAGGCAAGGGGGTCGGGACCTTTGGGGCCGCGGATGGAGAAGCCCATGTCGGAGGATGTCTGCGTCCGTGAGCCGCGGGGGCCATCTGGAGGCCTCCCGGGGGGCCTGCGGAATCCTCCAGGGGACCTTTGGGGGTGGGGGCCTCTGGAGGGGGAGGGGCCGGGTGCAGGCCCCGAGGGCGAGTGCAACACGTCATCGAGCTCCGCCAAGATTCTGCTGTGCCGTCTCGGGGGCGACGGCGAGCGGTGCAACGTGGCTCTTCTTGCTGCTTCTGCCCCTCCTCCCCCACGTCTCACGAGCCCTTGAGAGGCAGCGTGCTCGGGATGCCCGAGCTGCCAGGGAAGGGCCTGGGGGGCCGCTCTACAGCGGGGTAGCAAGCACCGCGCGGCAGGACTGGGTGAACCTGCATTCCGAGTCCGGCATGGGCGACAAGGCGCGCGGCCGGGCGGGGGGTCGGAGACCAGGGCGAGGCCCCTGGAGGTCCTCTCGGGCAGGCCTGGGGTGCAGGCGGCTCGTTCCTGGATCGGCCGTGGCGCCCGAAACCAGCTGGGGCATGATGAGGACGATGACGATGACGATGGCGACGGCGATGGCGATGGCGATGGCGATGATGATGCTGCTGATGCTGATGCTGATGCTGATGCTGCTGCTGATGATGATGATGATGATGATGATGATGATGATGATGAAAATGATGATGATGATGATGATGATGATGATGATGATGATGATGATGATGATGATGATGATGACGATGGCGGTGGTGGTGATGATGACGATGATGAGGATGACGAGGGTGATGATGATGATGACGATGATGCTGATGATGATGCTCATGGTGATGATGGTGGTGATGATGATGGTGATGATGATGCTGCTGCTTCTGATGATCATGATGCTTCTGCTGATGATGATAATGCTGATGGCGATGATGAGGATACTGATCATGATGATGATAATGCTGATATTGATGATGTTTATGCTGCTATTGCTGATTATAATGCTGCTGCTGCCGAATGATGATGATGATGGCGATGGTGGCGGTGGTGGTGATGATGTTGATGATGATGACGATGATGATAATGATGATGGTGGTGGTGATGGTGATGATGATCATGCTTCTGCTGCTGCTGATGGTACTGATTGTGGTGGTGATGATGATGATGAGGATGAGGATGAGGATGATGATGATGCAGATGATGATGAGGATGATGCTGATGATGCTGATGCTGCTGCTGCTGCTGCTGCTGCTGCTGATGATGATGATGATGATGATGATGATGATGATGATGATGATGATATGTGGTAGTGGTGGTGATTATGCTGATGATGATGGTGGTGGTGGTGAGGGTGATGATGATGCTGCTTCTGATGGTGATGGTGAGGATGATGGTGATGCTGAGGATGATGATGATGATGATGATGATGATGATGATGATGATGATGATGATGATGATGATGATGATGATGATGATGTTGATGATCAGGACGATGATGAGGAGGATGAATCTGGGCATTATGATGGCGATGCTGATGCTGCTACTGAAGACGATTCTGATTACGTTGATCACGTGGCGGTGGCGGATGATGATCACGAGGACTAAGAGGACGATGCTGAGAATGAGGATGATTTTGAAGATGCTCCTGCCGTCGATGGTGCTGGTGGTGGTGGTAATGGGGAGATGCTGAGGAGGATGGGAAGGACTTCCCTACTCCCCTCCTCCTACTACTCCTCCTACTACTCCTCCTCCTTTCCTCCTCCTCCTCCTCCTCCTTCCCTTCCTTCCTTCCCTTCCTTCCCTTCTGATCAGGAGCGATTCCGCATGCAAGGTAATCACATTTCAGACTTTTCGGCCACGCTGGGGGCCGCCATCCACCCCCACGTGGAGCCCGCTGTCCAGGACCGTGCCAGTTGGTATAGTTGCACGAGCAAGGTGGTGCTAAAACTGGCTGCGAGGCTACTTCATCTCTGGTCTAACGTGACTTCTCATAGGTAGAGTATGCTACGCCCCCACCCAAGCACATGGCTGTGTCTGATGCCCATAGCTGGGCTTGGGTGGGTTCTTGGCGGCAGTGTCAGGTTTGTTTGTGGGTGCACTGGAGTCAACCGACCTCTCCCGGGCCGGTGTTCTAAGCCGCCTCGTCTTAGTATGAAGCAGTGTTGTGCAGTGGTGGACTGCACGGAGTTTTTTTTGTTGTCGGTGCATTTGTCTTGATTGCTACTTGTACAGTTTAGGTGACAGGATCGTCAAGCGGGGATAATATTGTCAAGGCAACGAGCTGCCTGGCACAGGACGTGCAGCCTGGTACTTCCATTCACCAAAAGCGAACATCCCCAGCAGAACAAGAGGGCGAGGAGCATCACATTCCTTCCTTCGCTGGGGTCAACGTAACAAGCAGTTGCTGAGAAGATGTCGTCGCGGTGAAAAAACAGCCTTTGGTAACAGTAGTATGTGGAGGCGGAGGAGGAGAAGGAGAAAAGGAAAAGGAGTAGCAGAAGGAGGAGGGGGAGGATCAGGAGAAGGCAGGAGGAGGAGGAGGAGGCAGGAGGAGGTTTGGATGGGAGGGGTCCTTGGGAGGGGGGAGGTCACTTGTTCTGGTCGTTGATGATTTCTGAATCCAGCTGCCTGCCGCACGTCCCGCCACCGATGCAGGCCAGCATTCTTCGACTGTTCGAGCCTCGTGTCTCCGGACTTGGGAGATCCGAGATGTGGGTGATGTCGATAATGAGGTTGATGGGGATGATGGTGGTGATGATGATGATGCTTATGATGATGATGATGATGGTGGTGGTGGTGATGATGATGATTCTGGTGACGATAATGATTATGATGCTGCTGCTGATTATGATGCCGATGATGATGACGCTGATGATGATGATGATGATGTTGATGCTGATGCTGATGATGATGCTGCCGCTGATGATGACGATGATCGTGGTGGTGGTGATGATGGTGATAATGGTGATACTGATGATGATGCTGGTGATGATGGTGATGGTGGTGGTGATGCTGATGGCGACGGTGGTGGTGGTGGTGCTGCTGCTGACGATGATGATAATGTCGATGCTGATAACGCTGATGATGATGCTGCGGCGGCTGCTGATGGTCATGATGCTGCTGCTGGTAATGCTGCTGCTGGTAATGAGGATGTGTATGGTGACATTAGCGATGCTGATGCTGAAGATGATAATCGCGACAACTGTCAACGCTGCTAATTTTTATGATGATTGTACTGCTGCTTCTGATGATGATGATGATGATGATGATGCTGCTAATGATGATGGTGACGATGATGATGGTGCTGATTATGATGATACTGCTGAGGATACTTGTAATGATGATGATGCTGCTGCTGATGATGATGATGATGGCGATGCCTATGACGATGATGCTGCTGATGATGGTGATGATGCTGATGATGCTGATGATGAGAAGGATGATGAGGATGAGTATGAGTATGAGGATGATAATGATGCTGATGATGATGAAGAAGATGCTGGTGATGACGATTCTGCTGCTGCTGATGATGCTGCTTCTGATGATGATGATGATGATGCTGATGATGATGATGATGATGACGCTGATGAGGCCGAGGAGGATGATGAGGATGAGTACGGGGTTGAGGATGAGGATGGCGATGCTGATGATGATGCTGATGCTGAGGGTGCTGGCGATTCTGATTATGACGCTGATGATGATGCTGATGCTGGTGCTGATGATGATGATGATGATGATGGTGATGCTGCTGATGCTGATGCTGAGGATTCTGCTGCTGATGATGGTGTGGGTGCTGATGATGCTGATGATTATGACCATGGTGTTGATGCTGCTGCTGATGATGCTGATGATGATGCGGCTGCTGCTGAGGATGCTGGTGCTTCTGCTGTTGCTGCTGCCGAATATTAGGATGATGCTGACCATGATGATGGTGATGGTGATGGTGATGATGCTGCTGCTGCTAATGATGCTGCTGCTGCTGATGATGATGATGATGATGATGATGTTGCTGATGAGGATGAAGATGGAGATGACGAGATCGATACTGCTGATGATGCTGCTGCTGTTGATGCTGATGATGAGGAGGAGGAGGAGGAGGATGAGGCGGACAATCAGGAGGTGGAGGAGGAGGAGGACCAGGAGGATAATGAGTAGGAGGAGGCGGATGATGAGGATGAGGATGAGGATGAGGATGTGGATGAGGATGATGATGAGGATGATGATGATGCTGATGATGATGCTGACGATGATTATGATGATGATGATGATGATGATGATGATGATGATGATGATGATGATGATGATGATGATCATGATGATGATGATGATGATGATGCTGCTAATGATGATGCTGATGATGATGATGCTGCTGATGATGTTAATGATGATGATGATGATGATTATGAGGATGAGGATGATGATGATGATGATGATGATGATGATGCTGATGATGATGATGCTGATGATGCTGATGATGATGATGATGATGATGATGATGATGATGATGATGATGATGATGCTGCTGCTGATGATGATGATGATGATGATGATGATGATGATGATGATGATGATGATGATGATGATGATGATGATTGATGATGATGCTGATGATGATGATGATGATGATGCTGATGCTGATGATGATGATGATGATGATGATGATGATGATGATGATGATGATGCTGATGATGATGATGATGATGATGATGATGATGATGATGATGATGATGATGATGATGATGATGATGATGATGATGCTGAGGAGGAGGAGGAGGAGGAGGAGGAGGAGGAGGAGGAGGAAAAGAAGAAGGGCTTCTCACGTGACACCTTTCGTCTTCACATGGTGTGTGTCTGGTGGGCCGTCGTGAGACCGTCCTGGCGCCGTCTTGGGCCGTCGAGTGGCCTTCCAAGGCCGTCTTGGGCCCACGAGTGGCCTTCGTGGGCCGTCTCGGTGCCTTCTTGGATGCTTTTGGGGCCGTCTTGAGCCGACGGAGCCCCAAAAGGACAGACTGCGAACTTCACTCAAACACCCTTGGGAAGCGCAATGATTTTGGCTCCTTCGGGCCCTGTTGGGGGTCCTCGCGTAGCCCTTTTGGGACCCCTTGGACGCATCTTGAGCCGTCTCTTGAAGCCGCACTGGGCCGCCTTGCCGACCCGTGTTTGACCATTTGCAGCGTTCTGTGCTCCGAAGAATCCCGCGGTTGGATGGGACCGTTGTTCACGATTACCGACGAGCACACTTAGGAGCCAAAACTTTGTTGACGCCTTCTCGGCTTCCCTTACCGTCAGTTTTCCATATCCCCCCTTCCTATGCTCCCTCGGGGGGCCGCCGTGTCCCACTGCGCCGCAGGTCCAGCAGGCTGGTGCCAAGGAGCGCGTGCGCAGGGCGGAGGAATAGGAATGACCATAGGGGGAACAACGGCGACGAGAGCGAAGAGCATGGTTAAGGCGACGGCTGCGGCTACGTTGACGTCGGCCGCGACTCGGTGTGCAGATGTGGCAGGATAAGTGGAACCACAGTGGTGCCGACCAGCTAAGTAACCCTTCCTCGCCATGCCCCACCAATTGTTCGGCAGCTTCTGGAGTTGGCCCAGTGACTAGTCCTCTGCAGCTGCACGTGGCTGTGCGCGCGAAGTTGGCTTAGACTTTTTGCACGTTGGCTTGCACGTTGGCAGAGTTGTTGTTTGTCGGTCAACTGTTCCTTGACGATCGCCTTGGCCATGTGCGATGTGCGTGCGTCTCGTGTTCGTACCAACGTTCTAGCGCCTAGACGGCGATCTGCGAGAGCGCCTCCTCCGCCCCCGCCCCGCGGAGGAGGAGGAATCGATCGAGGAGGCGAAGCCCTGGCTCGCCCGGGCCTCGGCACGGGCTTCCACGGCAACGCTCTTCTGATCCTCGTCGTCCCACTAGAGCATGATGGTCGAGAGGGTAAGGAGATCGATGTGCCCGACCAGTTCAGCACATCGTGAGGGTCGAGGGAGGGGAGCAGTGGTGTAGATGAGAAACAGGGAAGATGACTCACGGCAGGAGCAAAAGACATTGTCACGCGCACGTCTATTTTTCTACCCATGCGTAGAGGCATCGATACACACATCTATATAAACATGTGTATATTTACGTCTGGGGGTAATGTGTGAATCAGATAGATACTGCTGAAGACGACGATGACGATGACGATCACGATGACAATAACGCTGATGATGCTGTTGATGATGCTGATGATGATGATGTTGACTGGCGGCGACGACGACGATGATGCTGCTGCTGATGATGCTGACGATGATGCTGTTGCCGATGGTGGTGAGGAAGCAGATGATGATGGTGATGATGATGCTGCTGCTGATGATCTGATTATGCTGATGATGAGGTTGCTGATGATGCTGGTGATTATGCGGATGCTGGCGACGATGATGACGTGGGTGACGACGAAGTCGACGATGATGCTGTTGATGATGATGCTGATGATGATGCCGACGACGATGATGCTGATGATGCTGATGACGATGATTATGTGGGTGACGACGACGAAGTCGAAGATTACGCTGCTGATGATGATGCTTCTGATGATAATGATGATGACGACGACGATGATGATCCTGATGATGATGCTGTATCTGATTATGGTGGGGATGCAGGTGATAATGGTGATGGTTGTGGTGCTGATGACGTTGCTGCTGCTGGTGATGATGATGATTATGCTGATGATGAGGTTGTTGCTGACGATGCTGGTGATGATGATGACGATGACGATGACGATGATGATGATGATGATGATGATGATGATGATGATGATGATGATGATGATAATGATGATGATGTGGGTGACGACGAGGAAGTCGATGATGACGCTGCTGATGACGATGCTGCTGATGAAGATAATGACGACGACAACGAGGAGGCTTCTGATGATGATGATGCTGATGCTGATGCTGATGCTGACGACGATGATGATGATGATGATGATGATGATGATGATGATGATGATGACGATGACGATGATGATGATGATGATGATGATGATGATGATGATGATGATGATGATGATGATGATGACGATGAGGATGGTCAGCATGGAGGTATTGGAGATTGTCGTACTGGTGGTGACGTTGATGTTGATGGTGGTGGTGGTGTCGGTGACGATGATAAGGATTCCGACGACGCTGATGCTGATGATGATGGGGCTTACTAGGATGGGAATGATGCAGAGTTGTCTGATGATTCTGCTGCGAATGATGATGCTACTGATGCTGATGAAGGCGATGTTAATGATGCTGCTGATGATGCTGGTGACGATGCTGCTGGTGTTGACGACGACGAGGACGATGATGGTTATGATGATGCTGGTGACGACGACGATGATTATGATGATGCTGCTGGCGATGATGCTCATGATTAATCTGGCGATGATGATGCTGACGACGATGATGAGGTTGGTGATCGTAGAGTTGATGATGGCGGTGACGGTGATGTTGCCGATGATTGTGATTGTGATGTTGCTGTTGATGCTGATGAGGATGGCGCCTTTGATGATGATTAGGCTGGTGGTGGTGATGGATGAGGGAGAGGATGAGGACGATGATGAGGATGATGCCGATGATGATGCTGTTGATGATGCTGTTGATGTTGGTGCCGATGCCGATGATATTGTTGATGATGCTGGTGGTGATGCTGATGATGATGATGATGATGGTGAGGATGATGATGACGATGCTGATGCTGATGCTGATGCTGATGGTGATGATGATGATGATGATGATGATGATGATGATGATGATGAGGAGGAGGAGGAGGAGGAGGAGGAGGAGGAGGAGGGGGAGGAGAAGGAGTGGGAGGAGGAGGAGGAGGAGGAGGAGGAGGAGGAGGAGGGAGGAGCTGCACCCATCTTCTTACGGGGCATCGCACGCCACCCTCCGAGGGCATTTGGACCCAAGTAGTTGTTTTTCCTCCCTTACCCCATTCTCCGTTCATGCACCGCTCGTGCTCGGCGGCATGGCCTGTTCCGTGTGCTCCTCTCCTTCTCCTCCTCATGAGGACGAGGAGCAGAGGAGCGATCGATGGCGTCGATGGTCTTCCTGACACCGTCACCGGCCTGAGCCTGAAGGGTGTACGTTCTCCAGCTGCCCCGAGGCAGGCATCCTTGCTTCCCCGTTCCCCCCCTCCCGCTGCCCCCTCTTCTTCCTCTTCGACCGTCGGGCCCACATGGTCTCGGCGCTCCCCCGGGCATCCAGGGCGCCTCGACTCTGCCTTCGTGGGCAGCCGATCCGATCCGATCCCTTCCCTCCGGGTGCCTCCCGCCCGCCTCCCCTGCTCCCGTTCCCCCGCCTCCGCTCCCCTCTCTCCCGCTCCTGCTGCCCCCCCCCCCCGGCCTCCTGGCCCTGCCTCTCTCCGCTCAGCGGCGCGGCACCACCACTGGCCGACGACATGCGGCTACAAGGATTCGGATTCCTCCTCCTCCTCCTCCTTCTCCTCCTGCTTTGCCCACATAACTCTTTACATCAGGGGCAACGCTAGGGGGGAATAGGCACAGGGGGGATGGCATCGACCCCCAATCGCCCACTGATCGCCGATAGTGGCTCGATAGCACCATTCTGTCCAGGGACGCGCGGATTCGCTACTGCTGGCCTATCGCCGATCTATCGGCGATATATGTGTATACATATATATATATATAGATATATATGTATATGTATGCGTATGACTATGTATATTTATACGTATATGTATATGCATAGGCATATGTATACATGCATCTATCCGTAAGGGCTTCGCCCCCTGCCGCCGGCCCCCTCTCTCGGAGAATGGGCCATGGAAGAGCTAAGTTATGAGGTCTTGGCGCTGTCGTGAAGCAGTATCGAAACTTCATGCGAAGCCGATTCGCAATCAGCAAAACCAACTGATCACAAGAGGGGTTACCACACCTGGCGATTGGTAAGACGTGTATGGTTTACGGGCTTGTTTACCACACCTTGCGATTAAAGGGCCGAGGGAGTTCTCGCAGTTTGGGTTACCACGCCTTGCGATGGATGTGCGTGAAGGGTGGCACCGAATTTCAGAAATGTGGCAAATCCCCTGTGTTTTTGGACCCTGACCCCGCGGATCTGCGTGAGGGGTGGCACCGAATTTCAGAAATGTGGCAAATCCCCTGTGTTTTTGGACCCTGACCCCGCGGATCTGCGTGAGGGGTGGCACCGAATTTCAGAAATGTGGCAAATCCCATGTGTTTTTGGACCCTGACCCCGCGGATCTGCGTGAGGGGTGGCACCGAATTTCAGAAATGTGGCAAATCCCTTGTGTTTTTGGACCCTGACCCCGCGGATCTGCGTGAGGGGTGGCACCGAATTTCAGAAATGTGGCAAATCCCTGTGTTTTTGGACCCTGACCCCGCGGATCTGCGTGAGGGGTGGCACCGAATTTCAGAAATGTGGCAAATCCCTGTGTTTTTGGACCCTGACCCCGCGGATCTGCGTGAGGGGTGGCACCGAATTTCAGAAATGTGGCAAATCCCCTGTGTTTTTGGACCCTGACCCCGCGGATCTGCGTGAGGGGTGACACCGAATTTCAGAAATGTGGCAAATCCCTTGTGTTTTTGGACCCTGACCCCGCGGATCTGCGTGATGGGTGCTGATTTCGAGCCCCCCCAGCAATTCAGACAACGCGCCCAGGGGGTGCTAAAAAGCCGGTTTGGGCCTCCCCCCCTCGCGCGGTCAATCAACTAGTTACAGTAAACAGCAATAAGCAGAACTGTAACATTGGAAACTACAAGCTACAACTGGTACAGGAAACTGCGAATCCCGCTCCTCGCAGCCTGGTGGCCCCACAAGGGGGCCGGCGGATTTATGCATATGTTTCGCATATGATTATGTATATATACATATATATATATATATATATATAGGTACATGCAAATGTATTTGTATGGGTATGTATATGTGTATGTGTACACGTACATGTGTACATGTGTACATGTATATTCATATGTATATGTATATGCATGCGTATGTATATGCACATGCATATGTACATGTATGTGTATATGTATCTGCATATGTATATGTACATGTCAACGTATGTGTCATGTCTATGCATGTATAGCTGTATGTGTATGTTTATATCTATATGTACATGTATATGTACTTGCATGTGCATATGTACATGCATATGTGTAAGTGTGTGTGTGTGTGTGTGTGTGTGGGTGCTGGTGCTGGTTTACACATATATATATATATATATGTGTATATGTACCTGTCCGATTCCAGGCCGATGTTTCCCTCCCCATGCCTATCTCCCCTATCGCTGCCCCTCATCACATGTCTCGCGTGCAGGTCCTGGCGAACGCCCCAGCACCTCGAGGCTACGGCCTCGCTCGGGAAGGCCGCACGAGGCCCCCGGGAACCCGTCCGCACTGGTGGTTCGTTCGCTCGTTCCCCCCCCTCGCTCCTGCGGGGGGGGGGTGGCTGCCGCGCGGGCGGCCGCGGGCTCCGACTTCCGAATGCTAAAGACAGCTGCCGACGGGCAGGCCATGTTGGAGCACGTCGTGGGCTCCCCCGAGGATCGAAGGAGACAAAAACGCTGGAAGCACAACATTTCGGAGCTCCGCGCGGGTGGCTTGGATCTGCGCCTGGGCCCCCTGGCGGCGCCTCCGGCGCCGCACCTGGCGCGCTCCGCGCGCCAGGGAGGTGGATCCGAGCGCCGATCCAAGAAATCCACGCGGAGCTCCGAAAGTTGCTGTTTGTGCCGTTCTGTCTTCCCCTAGAGGAGCAGGCTGATTCCTGGGCGTGCGCTTCCCCGCCGTCCCTTTGCCCTTCCCCTTGTGCCCCTGCCCGCCCCCCCGCCCCCCCGCCTTTGGTCACCAAGGTCCACTGAGCAATGCGCGGCGGGGCCATCTCGCTGCCCTTTGGGATTTGTTTTTCCCTGTTCCGCTCGGCCGCTTCGCCCGCCGGCCAGCATTTTGTTGTGCCGTCTCTCCCTCGTCGTCGTCCTCCTCTTTTCCCCTATCCTGTTTCACGCCTGCACAGCTGTACACTGCAAGAGGCAAGCTGTTGTTGGGGTTCAGGCTGCCTTCGTCGAGTTGCGCTTTCGTGAGGCGGGCGAGTGCTGGCAGCTGGCGTGCGGGCACGGCGCTGCACGCTGCGAGTAATTGCGGCGGTTTCGCGTTTCGAGGCGGCGGTGTTAGAGAGCGTTTTGTATCCTTTGGGCTACACCGCGCGTTACGCCCCCTCCCCTCCCCCCCCTGAAGATGACGCTCCCCCCCTCAGCGCGTCCCCGGCACTGCCGCAGTTCGTCCGGCACCACGGTCTGGGGCGGGGGGGGGGCCGCTACGTTATGCCCCGTCCCGTCCGGTCCCCCGCCCCCAATAACGCCCGTTGTGGCAGCGAGTAGAAAGTGTGCGCTCTTGGAAGGTGCGGGAGCCAGTCGCGCTGCAGCAGGACAGAGCGGAGCACACGCGCGCCTCGGGGTTTGCTGGCCTCCCACGGCCTCCACGGGGCTGACCCTGCGCCCTCCCCGGCGCGCCCAGGGGCCCAGAGCTATCTCACAGCAGTCTTTTTGTTCATGCCTGGTTGCCAGTCTCCAACGTCTGGCCGCCCGAGGTGCAGGAGGTGCCCGAGCTGACCGCCAAGTCGCACCAGGCGGCTCCAGGGGGGGGGGGTGGGACGGGGGCAGAGCTTTCGAGGAGGCAGAGCGGAGGAGGGAGGGAGGGAGGGAGTGAGGGAGGGAGAGGCACGAGGGAGAAACGAAGGGAGGTGGAGAAAGAGGAGCGTGCGGAAGAGAAGGATGAGGAGGATGGAGGAGCAGTTGTGGTGGTGATGATGATTATGGTGAAGATGATGATGATGACGATGATGATGCTGCTGCTGCTGATGATGATGATGATGATGATGATGATGTTGATGGTACTGATGGTGATGATGATGATGATGATGCAGATGATGCAGATTATGATGTGTATAAGGATGGATTGATGGACGGATGTTTGGATGGTGTATGGTTGATGATGGATTGTGGATGATGATGGTGATGCTGATGATGATGGCGATGGTGATGCTGATGATGATGATGCTTATGATGATGATGCTGATGCTGATGATGATGATGATGATGGTGATGATGGTGGTGGTGAGAATGATTGTGACGGTGATTGTGATGATGATGCTGCTGCTGACGATGATGCTGATGATGATGATGATGATAATGTAATGGTGCTGGTGATGGTGATGGTGATGGTGATGGTGATGGTTATGGTGGTGATGATGGTCATGATGCTGATGCTGATGCTGATGATGATGAGGATGAGGATGGTAATGATGATGATGGTGGTGGTGATGGGTGCTGCTGCTGCTGTTGTTGCTGATGATACTTACGAGGATGGTCATGATGATAACGATGGTGATTGTGATGCCGATGATACTGATGATGATGCTGCTGATGCTGAATACGATTACGATGGTGCTGATGCTGCTGACGCTGACGTAGATGATGATCAAGATGCTGATGGTGCTGATGATGATGATGATAATGATGCTGATGCTGATGCTGATGTTGATGTTGCTGTTGATGATTCTGATGATGGTGTTGCTGATGATGATGCTGATGCGGCTGAGGATTCTGCTGCTGTTGATAATGAGATGAGACTGATGATGTTCATGAGGATGATGCAGATGATGATGACGATGATGATGATGCTGCTGCTGATGATGATGGTGATGATGACGCTGCTGATGATCATGATGATGAGTATGACGAGGAGGAAGAGGAGAGGGAAGAGGAGGGGGAGGCGGAGTTGCTAGAGGGGGAGAGGAAGGGATAATTTGGTATGGAGGGAAGATATGCCCATGACGCATTCTCTGGAGACATGCCATTTACCCACGGCGCGGAGGTTCCAGAGGTTAGTTGGCAGAGTCCGAGGAAGCGAGTGCTCTTGATTACTGATTTCGCCCCTCTTGCTGGGAACCGTACCATCGTGTTGTCAGCCATTGAGGTCGGTCCAGTATCCGATTGCATTATCACTGATACATTCCTCCAACGACGCCGTCGAGTGACACACACGGGACTAGAATACCATAGCCGACTACCTGGCAACCTACACCCTGGACCAACGACGATCGTGGTTTCAAGTTTGTTCGACCTACGTCAACGCCAATGCCAGAACTCTGCTTACCCACACTTTCGGCGGCAGTCAGGCACACCAGTGTGCCGCGGCAACGTGGGTGCTACATATGGTGCCCACCAAGGACGGTCACATTACTACCCAGGCATTAGCGATAGGGGCACTTCTATTGAGCTTCATGTTTCATCCTTCCCAGCGGAAGCGACGGCTCCTGACGCGGACCAGGCAATGTCTATCATCCTAGTATGCTTGTTGCGAAGAATTACTACAACTAGGGTTGGCCAGGGTTGGCCAGAGGGTTGGCTGGGGGTTCGTTCGGGTCGGATGGAGAGTTGGCCAGGGCAGTTCTTGGATAGACAGACCTTTGTCATCGCATTGGGTTTATCGTCTGCGTCGTCTCATCACCACCATCACATTGCCGTCTTTGAAACAGGAAAACAAGGAACGGGGATGAGCAGGAGAAGGAGGGGAAGGGGGAGGGGGAGGAGGAGGGGGAGGGGGAGGAGGGGAGGAGGAGGAGGAGGAGGAGGGAGGAGAGGAGGAGGAGGAGGGAGGAGGAGGAGGAGGAGGAGGAGGCAGGAGGAGGAGGAGGCTCCTCGTCGGTCCTGCTCCTCCTCCTCCTCGTTGTCCTCTTCCTCGTACCTCCTTCTCCATCTCCTCGTCCCTCTTTGGTGGAAAGGGGTGACGGGGCAAGGGGGACGCGAGTTCGGGGGGGCAGGGGCAGGGGAGGGGATGTCGGGGGTGAGTGGGGGGGAGGAGGCTGCCGGCGTCCCGCTTGCCAGTTTCGCCTTCTGCTTCCGACCTCCAACCGCGTCTCCTGACTTGATGACCGGCTCCGTCCGCCCAGTACCCAGATCTGCCGTGTTGTGTTTGTATGACATGGACCGCTCTGTCGTCACGGAGGGTTCTTGTCACCGGCCTGGGGCCAGAGCAGAGCGCGGCGGCCTCCTAGACGCCGAGCAAGACTTTACAGGTCTGTGTGCCCTGCTGCAAGCTGCTTCCCCCTCTCCTCCAGCCGCCCAGGTGCGTGCGCGCGAGTGCAAAGCGGGAGCCTCCACTCTCGTGCTCCCCCCGCGCTCCCCCCGCGCCTGCTTCAAGAGCCCCTGGCTCTCTCTCTCTCTCTCTCTCTCTCTCTCCTGCGCCGTGCCCTCCCCTCCGCTCCGTCCCGTGTGCTCTCGGCTCCGCGCTGCGCGGCCGCGCTCAGGACGTCTGCTTCAAGGGGGACGGCCTGTGCGTCATCTACCTCAAGGAGCGCACTCCTGCGCACCGCGCAGCACACGGGGGGAATCTAGGGGAGGGCGGAGCGAGCAGCAGCTGCAGCAGCAGCAGCGGGGGCGACAGCAACGGCTTCGGGTGGTGGGCCGAGGCCCAGGTCGCGCCCGATCCCGAAGCTGTGCGCTGCGTTGGCGCGGGTGCGAAGGCATCAGCACACGCACGCCGTCACGCCCCCCTGCCCCCATTGCTTTTGTCGCCTTGTCGCGGGGGGGTTGGAGACTCTAGGTTTGAGATCACTGACTGAATCTGCACACTCCCTGCGCTCCACGCTACACCTGTGCTAACGTATCGCCCCGATGCCGAGCTAACAAGAGTAGCGGCGTGTGGCGTCAGGCCACGATTTCCTTGCGAAGAAACTCCGCCTTTCCCGTTCTGTGTTTTACGTTCGACGCTCCAAGATCTACGTTGTACGCCTCACACTTATCTTTCTCGTTTGCGCAGAAGCTCGTCAGAATGTCTGTGTCTTCACCAGCATTGGCGCGTAAGTTGCTCGCGTGAGGTCACGCGTAAGCGTCCTCGTCTCCAGCGCAGCGTGCCGCGCTGGCGGCCCGCGTACGCCACCGCGTAAGGTCGCTCATCGCGCGTAAGGCCCGTTTTATGTTCGTCGCTTTTTTGTGCGTATATGGGTTTACATAGTTTTTGGAATTTGTACATATATGCAAACCATAGCAAACCTGTACAGGTGTTCATGTATGCATGCATTCTGAAGCCATTCAGGGGCAAAGCTACACCTGAGAAACACGCTTGGACCCCCTATGGAGTACAAGTGACACGCATGCCGCGGCTCTTGCACGAGGGAGCGGCGAGGGAAATGAGATGCGTGGCCGCCAAGTGCAAGGACGTCAGGGAGGTCCGAGATGGCCAGGGAGGCGAACGACGACGACGACGAAAGGAGGGGGCTCCGCGACACAGGGCCAGCCTCAAGGGGAGGGAGGCCACAGGGGAGGCCAGGACGGCCGAATGGGGCGGGGGGGAGGGACGACGACATGACACGATGAGACACGACACGACACGCCACGCCACGCTACGCCACGGCACGGCACGGCACGGCATGGCACGACACCACACGACACGACACGACGACGACGAAAATCAACCAATCCGAAGCCCTCGGGGGGGCCACGTCCAGGGGAGGCTGCGGGAGGCCAAGGGAGACGGATCTAAAAATTTGACTGGCAGACGCGGCATAACCAATACAGGGGCCAATGCATACCAGTTCTCAGAACGAATTGTCGAATCTCTCACAATGTTCGCCGAATCGACACACATTGTCTGCCTGCGCCGGGTGGGCCAAGAAGTTCCATCCCGCGCAGGATTTCCTCTAGCTCATCCATTCCGAAGAGCTCTACGAGGTACTGCAGGGGTCCGGGGCTACCACCCAATCCGAAGCCGTGGAGGTGGGCCAGGGCAAGCGGAGGCCAGGGGGGGGAGGGGGGGCCAAGGGAGGCCCGGGGGGGGGGGCAGGGCAGGCCACGAGGACACGACGCGGTGCGACAGGACCCGGCGACGAAAACAGAGCAATCCGAAGCCCTTGGGGGGGGGAGGGGGCCAGGGCCATGGGAGGCCACTGAAGGCCAGCGAGGCCGGGGGAGCCTTGGAGGCCACGACACGACACGACACGACACGACACGACACGACACGACACGACACGACACGACACGACACGACACGACACGACACGACACGACACGACGACGAAGAACATACACCAGTCCGAAGCCCCTGGGGGGGAAGGGGCGCAGGCCAGGGGAGGCCAGGGGGGGGGGGCCAGGGGGAGGCCACGCCGACACGACACGACGCGACACGACGACGACAGGGCACGACGACGACGAGCAGAGCAATCCGAAGCCAGGGGGGGGGGGCACGGCCAGGGGAGGCCAGGGGAGGCCAGGGGAGGCCAGGGGGGGCAGGGGGCAGGGGAGGCCTCGATGGCACGCCACGCGGCACGGCACGGCACGGCACGGCACGGCACGGCACGGCACGACGACGACGACGACAAACACACAGAGGATCCGAGATCTGGAGCGCAGCAGTGCAGGAGAAGGCAGTGGTCCGAGCTGTCGGGGGGGATGTCGGGGGGCAGGGCCCGGGGACGCGCCTGGGGCGGGGGGGCACGGCACGGCACGGCACGGCACCGCACGGCACGGCACGGCACGACGCGACGACGAAGGTAAAGAGGTCCGAGCCCAAGAACAGTTGTGCAACCCTCCCAGGAAAGAAGGGGGAGGAGGAGGAGGAGGAGGAGGAGGTGGAGGAGGAGGAGGAGGAGGACGAGGGGGAGGAGGGGGAGGAGGAGGAGGGGGAGGAGGAGCAGGGGAAAGAGGATATTGGCAGTCGCCTTGAATGTTATGTGTTGAATGGAATGTGTGCCTCGTGTCCGTCTGTCGGGCTTGTTGGCGGGCTAGTTCCCGGACGGGTTGGCTCGTTGGTGCGTGGTTGGGCGGGGCGTAGCATGATTTTTTTCAGTCATTCCTATCTTCTAGTCAGTCCAGCCATTTCTATCATCCAGTCGTTTCTACCTCCTTCCAGTCATTCCTATCCAGCCATTCCTATCTTCTGCTCCTTCCAGGCAGTGCTATCTTCGTTAAGACGCCTACGGCGAATCACCGCCTCCCCCTGCCTGTGGGGATCGCTAATGTGGCCGAGCGTTGTGGCAAGAGCTCTGCCAAGCTATCGGACCATGTGTTCCCCCAGCCGTTGTGGAACCCCTTGGGGGAACACTTGGGGGAGGATGGCTGGGAAGATCAGGAGGAGGAGGAAAAGGAGGGGGCATCTTGGGAGCCTCTGGGGGCACCCCTGTGGCCTCCTAGGAGCTTCCTGGGGGCTTCTTGGAGGCATCTTGGGGGCCTCCTTGGGCCTCGGGAGTCTTGGGGGGGCTTCTCGGGGGCCTCTTTGGCCGTCTCGGGGCACTCCTGGCCCGTCTGACGCGGTCGGAAGCCGTCTTGGGGGCTTCTCTGGGCCGACTTGGGGCGTGCTGCAGGGCCGTCTTCGAGGCCATCCTGCGCGTCTTGGAGGCCTCTTGGGCCGCCTCGGGGTCCCCTTGGGCCGTCTTGGGGGCCTCTCAGGCCATCATGGGGTCATCTTAGAGGCCTCTTGGGCGATCTTGGGGCGTTTTGTTGGGGCCATCTTGGGCGTCTTAAAGGCCTCCTGGGCCGTCTTGGAGGCCTCTTGGGGCCGTCTTGATGGCCTCTTGGGCCGTTCTGGGACCATCTTGGAGGCCTCTTGGGCGATCTTGGGCGATCTTTGGGGGCTCTTGGGCCGTCTCGGGCCGTCGGAAGGCCGAAACGAAGCAAAATCCCAAAGCCTTCACAAGCCTTCGGAACATGATTTTGGCCCCTTCTGGCCCTCCTGGAGGCCCTCTTGGAGGCCTCTTGGGCCGTCTTGGGCCAGCTTCGAGCCAACTTCGGCCGTCTTGGTGGGCTTTTGGCCCGTCTGACGCCGACGGAAGCCGTTTGGGGGGCCTCTCTGGGCCGACTTGGGGCCATCTTGGGGTGCTCCAGGGCCGTCTTAGAGGCCATATTGGGCGTCTTGGATGCCTCTTGGGTCGTCTTTGTGTCCTCTTGGGGCCGTCTTGGGGGCCTCTTGGGCAGTCCTGAGGCCATCTTGGAGGCCTCTTGGGCGCTCTGGGGACAATCTTGGGGGCCTCTTGGGCCGTCTTGAGTCGTCGGAAAGCCGAAAGGAGCAAATGCCAAAATCCTTTGGAAAACCACTGATTTTGGCCTCTTCGGGCCCTGTGGAGGACCTCTTCGAGGCCTCTTGGGCCGTCTTGGAGGCCTCTTGGAGGCCCCTGGAGCCGTCTTGGGACATCTTGATGCCATTTGAGGCTGTCTTGAGTGCATCTTGGCTCGTCTTGGAGGCATCTTGGGGCCATCTGGGCCGTCTTGGAGGCCATCTTGGCCGTCTTGGATGCATCTTGGAGGCCATCTTGGGCCGTCTTGGAGCCGTCTGGAGCAGGAAAAACCCTTTGGAACCGGGTCTGGATCTTTCCGGGTGGCTGGCGGGACGGGCCGAAGCCCCAGGGGGAGTTCTTTTGGAAAAAGAGCCAACACCAAAACCGAAAGGGTTTAGCACGCCAGGCACCCCTGCGATGAATCGACAGGGGGCGGCGGATCGAAGACGCCTACGGCGAATCACCGCCGCCCCCTGCCTTTTTGGAAGCGCCTATGTGGCCAAACGTTGAGGCCAGACCTGCCAAGCTATCGGACCATGTGTTCCCCGAATCGGTTTGGAAAGCCTTCGGGAAACAGGTGGGCATCTTGAAGGTCATCTTGGCCGTCTGGAGACCATTTTGACCCTTTCAGGCCTTCTTGGAGGACGTCTTGGAGGGCTCTTGGGCCGTCTTCGAGGCCATCTTGAGCGTCTTGGAGGCCTCTTGGGCCGTCTTGGGGGCCTCTTGGGGTCGTCTTGGGCCTCTTGGGCGATCTTTGAGGGCACTTGGGCCGTCTTGGGCCGTCGGAAGGCCGAACAAAAAGCAAATGCCACAATCCTTCAAAAACCCATTTGAAATCAATGATTTTGGCCTTTTCGGGCATTCCTGGAGGCCCTCTTAGGAGCCTCTTGGGCCGTCTTGGGCCATCTTAGGGCCATCTTCGGCCGTCTTGGTGGGGTCCTGGCCCGTCGGACGCCGACGGAAGCCGTTTGGGGGGCCTGTCTGGGCCGACTTGGGGCCCTCTTGGAATGTTCCAGGGCCGTCTTAGAGGCCATCTTGGGCGTCGTAAAGGCCTCCTGGGCCGTCTTGGGGGCCTCTTGGGCCGTTCTGGGGCCATCTTGGAGGCCTCTTGGGCGATCTTTGGGGGATCTTTGGGGGGCTCTTGGGCCGTCTCGGGCCGTCGGAAGGCCGAAAAGAAGCAAATGTTAAAATCCTTCAAAAACCGAAGGAAAATACATGTTTTCTGGCCTTCTCTGGCCTCCTGGAGGCCCTCTTGGAGGCCTCTTGGGCCGTCTTGAGCCAGCTTCGAGCCAACTTCGGCCATCTTGGTGGGTTCCTGGCACGTCTGACGCCGTCGGGAGCCGTCTCGGGGGCCTCTCTGAACTGGCTTGGGGCCCTCTTGGGGCGCTTCGGGGCCGTCTTGGAGGTCATCTTGGGCGTCTTGGAGGTCTCTTGGCCCGTCTTGGGGCCCTCTTGGGGCCGTCTTGGGGGCCGCTTGGGCGGTCATGGGGCCACCTTGGAGGCCTCGTGGGCGATCTTGGGGCGATCTTGGGGGCCTCTTGGGCCGTCTTGAGCCGTCGGAAGGCCGAAAAGAAGCAAATGTCAAAATCCTTCAAAGGAAAATCAATAATTTTGGCCTCTTCGGGCCCTCCTTGAGGACCTCTTGGAGGCCTCTTGGGTCGTCTTGGGCCGTCTTGGAGGCTTCTTGGGCGAACTTGGATGTATCTTGGACTCTCTTGGGCTTGGACCATCTTGGGCCAACGTGGCCATCTTGAAGGCCATCTTGGGCCGTCTTGGAGCCGTCAGGGGCAGGAAAACCCTTCGCAACCGGCTCTGGAAGATCCTTTGCAATCCTTCCGGGACCCTGGCGGGACGCGCCGGAGCCCCAGAGGGAGTTCTTTTGGAAAAGAACCGAAACCCAAACCGAGAGGGTTCAGTACGACGCCCTCTTGGGTACATCTTGGGCCGTCTTGGAGGCATCTTGGGGCCATCTTAGCCGTCTTGGAGGCCATCTTGGCCGTCTTGGATGCATTTTGGAGGCCATCTTGGGCCGTCTTGGAGCCGTCTGGGCCTCCTGGGGCGGAAGGCTCGACTTCTCGGTTCATGTTCTCCCTCTTGGTGCCGTTATACGGCCTGGGCCGTCTTGAGCGCCTTTTGGGCCGTTTCCCGGCCCTCGTGGGCCGTTTTGGAGCCCTCCTGGAGGCCTCTTGTGTTGTCTTGGGGCGGTCTTGGACCTCTTCGGCCGTCTTGGAGCGTCGGAAGCTCGAAAAGGCGAGAACGTGAACATTTTTGAAAACCAAGGGGAAATCAATGATATTCTTGACGTTCCGCGTGACCCCACCAACCCGTCCATAGACGATGCTCAGAGGAGCTGCCTCGATCAGGGAAGTGGGCAGCACACAGAGGAAGGGTCCCTCTTGGAGCGCTCATGGGACTCTTGGGCGCTCATGGGGCCGACTTGGGGCTCTCTCTTGGGCCTCCTTTGGGGTCCTCCGGTCATCTTTGAGCTGCCTTGGGGCCTCTTGGGGGTCTCTTGGGAGCCTCTTTGAGGCCTCTTGGGCGCCTCTTGGGGCCTCCTGGGCGCCTCTTGGGGCCCTCTTGAGGCGCTCATGGGGGCCTTGGGAGTGCTCTTGGGGCCATCTCGGAGGAGATCGAAAAAAAAAGGTGAGAGCTCTAATTACCACTCCCCCTCGGGAGCCCCAACAATCGCCTTCTGGGCCCCTCTTGGAACGCTCTTGGAGCGCTCTTGGGCGCTCCTGGGGCCGTCTTGGGGCTCTCTTGAGCCTCTCCTGGGGTCCTCATGAGCCCTATTGGAGCTGTATTGAGGCCTCGGAAGGCCATCGGAAGCGAAGCGGCGATAAGGCACACATCATTGATTTTCCTAAGGTTTTTTTTTGTTTGTTTTTTCTTTCTCCATATTTTGGCCTCTTGGCGGCCTCCTGGCGAGGCTCCGTGGCCACTCGGAGCCGTCTTGGAGCGGTCTTGGGGCCTCTTGGAGCATTTTGGGAGCCATCTTGAGCCATCTTGAGCTATCTTGGGTCATCTTGGAAGTCATCTTGGGCTCTCTGAGTCCCTCCTATAGAGCCATCTTGGGCTATCTTGGACGCCCCAACGACCCGCGACCCCACCCCTCCAGGTCCAGGGGAGGGGGTAGGGGTACCCCCCCCCTCCTCGAAGGGGAAGAAGGGGGGTTGGAAGAGAAAGCTCTCCAGACCACCTATACGCACAGAGGGCTGGTGGGATTTGCCTCTTGGGGCCTTCTTGGGGGTCCTCTTGGAGCGCTCTTCGGGCCTCTTGGGGGCCTCTTGGTCCATGTTGGGGCCATCTTGGGGGCGTGTAGCAGCTCTCTTGGGCCATCTTGGCGACTTTGGCGGCGTTGACCCCCCCCCCACTCTTCCCCCCTTCCCCGGCTAAGCCGCCTCCGCAATCTTTCTCCTGCGGCGCGGGAGCTAAAGCTCAGGCTTGTAGCTTTGCAAAACTCACGCGCCGGATCGGCGGATTTCTCTCACCGTCAATTTGTCCGCGGCATCTTCAGGACGGAGAGGCGTCCCAACAGGAGATCGACATGCTGACAGGCGCTTTGCCACTCTGTGTGCACTTTGATGTCTTTGAACCTGTTATCACGGATTCTGGTTTTGTATTCGATCCATGACGGTAGCCTCTCCAGTCATATGTGCCTTTGAAGTCTGAAGTTCTGGGTCGACATGCCGCAGCATTGAATCGATGTATTAGTTGTCGACTTGGGTCCTACCCAGCAGCCCTTAAGCTGTCGTGGTGGCTTGACACAGCGCGATGCCGCAATATCGCGCACACACACACCAGTATGCAGCCATCCGGCGTAGCTCCGATAATCCTATGCCGAAGCACAGTGGTGAAGTTGCAGTTGCAAGTACGACGCCCTACATTCGGGCCCAGTGCATCTGTCGCGCGGGTCTGAGTAGCTTTCGGGGGCGCGAGGCCGCTGTGGCTCCGAGTGCGAGTGCAGATTGAGCTGCGAGGGCCCGCGAAGAAGGGCTGGAGGGGAGGGAGGAATGGTGTAGTTAGTGGACAGATGCACGTCTCTCGCTCCTCCTGCGCCCCTGCGCTGTCTATGTCCTGCCGCCCGGAGGCCTGTCCAAGAAGTTCACCTCCCAGCTCAGCGACAGGCGGCCTGGCGCGACGGCTCTCTCGCGGCACCCGGCGCACTGAGGCCGGCAGCAGAAGCCAGCGGCAGGGCGATTCGACGAGGAAGCGCCGCAGCGTTTGCTTCGCCTTCTCCCTGTCCCCCCCGTTCGCTTCCTCCCCCTGGGGGCTCTGCTTGCCGGTCGGCCTGCGGAGCCGGGCAGGGTTAAGCAGGGGGATCGACTACAGAAGTGATTCACCCCAGAATTTATTTGTTCGTCGAATCTACGAGAAACGCGTTGAATACTCCGTAGGTCCACGGTAAGTTCTACGTTTTTGTCGGTAAATCCGACGGAAGTCTCAGTTTTGGGGTAAACCAATGCTGCTCGCGAACTGGGGTGCTTGCACCGCTGCGCCAGCATTCGGAAAGGTTCATCTTGCCCACGCGAACGCGTCGCGCGGTCCGAGGGAACACGCATCCGCTCCCCTGGCACACCTGATGCCCCGACCTGTCCAGGAGCGAGTCCCGACGAAGATGTCGCAGCGGGATCCAGCCGTGGCAACGACAAAGAAGGCGGCCAACCACACCCAAAGGAGAGTCTGTGCACGTCAACAGAAGCCAAGGAGGCCAACTGACGCGAGTAATAGGCAGAGCCGCCCTCTTACCCCTTAGACGCACGGTGGAGGGTCGTGGCTAGAGGTGCGATCCTCCAGCGATGGTCGAACAGCGCTCGAGCGTGCCCAGATGTGCGCGTGCACACCATGACGAACCGACAACACACGCCCGTACCCATTGGGGGGGTCAGAGGGAGGAGGACCGGCTGTGGGTATGGGTGCGGGTTGTCGGACCCGGGGGGGAGGCTCCCTTTCGAGCGGTGATCCTCATCCGACAACGCGCACCCATAGCCCCCCCTCCCTCGTCCCCTATGTGTGTAGGTGTGTGCTGTTCTTTCGTCGCAGCAGGCAGTGGAATCCATGATACCCGAGCTGTGAATCGGAGCCGCGCCCGCGCGTTGCGTGGGCTGCCCACCGCGAGTGCCTGGCGTCGCCTGGCCATCTGTCCGTTTCGCGTCTCTGACCTCCGACGGTGATGCGTCGACGCTGTGCTGGCGGAAGGGTGGGAGGAGTTCAGAGAGGGGGAGGCACAGGACAGGGATGCGGAAAGAGACATGGGAGAGTGGAGAAAGGTACAGAGAGAGAGAGGGGAGAGGGAGAACAATGAGGAGGAGGAGAAGGAGAAGGAGGAGGAGGAGGAGGAGGAGACGGTTGAGGAGGAGGAGGAGGAGGAGGAGGAGGAGGAGGAGAAGGATACCCAGACGGGAAGGAAGGCGCGGAGCATGCGAAGGTGGCGGCGGATGTTCTTACATTTCACCTTAGCTGGTCTTTCCCGCAGCCTCCTCTCACAGGGGGGCCAAGATGAAGTGGATGTGGATGAACTTGGCCATCGAGGGTACGTACAAGGCGCTTGCATGCTAGCCTGGAACATCTGTTGCTGTTGAGACCTTCTTTCAGACGGTTGACACCGAAGTGCATCACGTATGTAATCTCACCAGAGCGATGCATCATACTGACCCGTTTTGGTTGTTCGTTTGCTCGTTTGCTCGCTTGCATCTCTCGCAGCAGCTCCTGCGCTCGCGGCCCTCGTCCAACAGGTGCGTCGAGTGTGCTGCGAGTCTCATTCTCCGCGCGCGTGCTTTGCACGGCACCTGTGCGCTGACCATGCCAGCGAGTGGCAACGTCCTTGTGCCGTGCACGTGCGTGCGAATGCCCTCCTGGTATTCGGTTCTGTCCACGGACAATCACTTCTGCCTGCGCAGCCGCATTCGCCTTCGCCAGCCTGGAGCTGCCCCTGTGACGTCAAACCCCGATGTCACAGCGTGGCTTCATGTTTTGGGATGAGTGGGACGAGGCTGAGCGCTAGCTCATAGCCATGCCCGCTTTTCTGTAAGGGCTCCGTATAGCCTTCTCAGAAACTAGCAACTGCGTTGCCGTACAGTCGGGGCCCTGAAGAAGGAACCCTTTTCGTTGAGGAGGGGCTCCGTGTTCCTTGATTGTTTCACAGCTTGCCTCAGGCTTTCCTTATGTTTTCGATCGGAAATCGAAGTTCAACTTATGGAAAAAAGGGGCCTCGTTCCTTATTTAGGGTTCCTTGGGTCAACGCCTCGACTGTATCCAGAATCTGTCGGGCGTCGTGGCCTCCCGTGGCCTCCCGCTGTATCAGTATTCGTATATGTGCCAGCGGTCGTATGAGTAAGAGTAGCAATGCTGACAGTGGTTCTATCATTCTTAGTCTTCGTGCTTCTATCAGTCGTGGAAGTAGGATTGGGATTAGCATTCGTACGCGTATTCGTACTAGCACGAGTATGCGTACCAGTACCCGTATGAGTATCAATGTCAGTCGTAACCTTGTTAATCTGTGTATTGGTGGTGGTAACGGTGAAGGAATCTTATTCGTACCACCCATATCATTGGTAAGCGTAGTCGTACAAGTATTCGTAGTTTTTTTCGTGTGAGTGTCACTATTCGGATTTGTATTCCTATTCGCACTATTGTTCGTGTCGCCCTTACCAGAGCGTCGTTGGGCCAGTGCGTGCCAGCCGAGGTGTAGGGAACTCGTTTGGCCAGGAGTGTTGACGAATGTTTCCAGCGAGAGCGAGCCAACGAGATTAAAGCCATTCGACGAGACGAAGCGGCTTTTGCAAACTGCGGCAAGCATGATGTTTGTAATTTTGGCGGGACTGTTAGTCAGCGTGTTCGTATTCGTTTGTATTATCGTATTAGTCTGTGTAGTTGTCTGCGCGTGCCCGTGTCAGTTTATTCAATCGCTTCGCTCATTCCGCCGGCCCATGTTGCATGATCGCTACTGCTTCGCCGTGGGCCCGGGGCCATTGTGGCGCCGCCGAGGAGGAAGAAGATGAGGATGGGGAAGGGGAGGGGAGGAGGAGGAGAGGATGAGAAGGAGAGGAGGACCCCCTGGGGGTCTCTGGGGGGTCTTCAGGCCCAAGTGCAAGGGACGGTTTGGATCGGTCTGACGGTCAGCCCGCACGTGCCTGGTCAACGTCTCCCTCCTGCCCTCCTCCTCCTCCTCCTCCTCCTCCTCCTCCTCCTCCTCCTCGTCCTCTTCTTAGCTACAATAACTCAAGCTTGCAGCCGCCGTGGTTGTCCCGCGCGCGGACGCACACCTTGGGCGCAGTACTATCGCGTTGGGCAAGGCGGGCCTGCCCTTTTACGTTCTTCAGCATGTGCGGCGATGTGCGACGCTAGCTGCTCTCGCCTGAACAGCAGTGCGGCAAGACGACGGTGCGCACACGTCACGCACGCTATGCAAATGCAGGCAGTCAAACTGGCCATCGTGCGGACGCTGGCTGCACCTCCTTGGCCATGTCGTCTTGTGTGCGGGGCTGGGTTTTTTGCAGGTGGTGTGCATGTACTTCTTGGGCCGACTGGCCTGGGGTTGGTGTTGTGACATTTCGTTAACGAAGGTGTACGATGCTACATGCGCCGTATCGGTTTTGCTTAAGGGGATGCAGCCTGTGCGAACATGGTATTACGCTCTGCATGCTCATGCTCGCCATCTCGTCATACTTTTTCGGGCGGTGCATCACGATTGGCGGCGCGACACTTGACAACGTTGCTGCTTTGAAGAACATGGTCTCATGTGCCACCGCACCCGCTTTGAGACCGATCGGGACTACCCAGGGAGGCCATCGAGGAATGCGAGTCGGGTGGCGTGTTTCTCGTCGACACGAGGGGCGGGCCCTCCGTGCATACTCGCGTCGGCCGGCGGCTGCGGGCATGCTTTTCTCTTTTGATCATTTCAGGCGGTAGTCGGGTGGGTGTGACCGGGAGGATAGGGGGGTCCTTTAGAAGATTGCAGAAACCTTGTCAGGCAGCCCTTGGCATTCTTCCACGCCTCAACGTGCCGCAGGCGCGGTGGCGGATCTCCACGGGTACCGTGCCTGCCGTCGGTTGCGGTATTATGTTTTGGCAGTCCAGTGGGGTGGCCTGCGACGGCTCCGCGACTTTGCACCACGGGCCATGGCCTGGGCCCAGGAGTCGCCCAATCGGAAGGCATAAGTCTTCCAGCTAGCGATCGGGCACGAGGAGGAGACGCTTCCTTCTCGTGAAGGTCACGCGGCCTACCCTGTGGACAATGCCCATACGATCCTGAAGGTCACGTTCTGCACGTTCACAGCGGGCAGAGTCGCACGGCATCTCCTGCTTCGGCTCCTCGTGAAGCATGCGGCCAGGCGCCGCGGGGCGGGCGGTTCCGTGGTCGATGTGTAATTTTGCGGTGCTGGTTGGCCCGCATCGTTCTGCGCAAAAGTGCGGTGCCGTCTTGATGATGGCGTCCTGGCGGGCAGGCCGCATCCGCTCGTACAGCAGCTCCCTCGGGCGTATCCGCATCCCGAACAGCGTTAGGATGTCACGTCGCACGCCGGCGGGGTGGATCGTATCCCCTCGGCCAAGTGGGTCTCATCGAAGCGTCGGCGTAATGCTGATGGTGAGCGTGGCGACGAGTGTCGCCGAGGGCTTTACGCAGTTCCAGAGCGGCAAGCGCGGATGTTTCCCCAACCCAGGTTGTGAGCCAGCAGCTGTCGGTATCGGACAGTGCCCCAAGTAACGGGCGTCCGCCTGTGGCATGGTGGACGCGTGTGGGGCGTCTTGGCGCACGCCGCGATTACATGCAGCCACTGGGCTTCCTGACATAAACCGAGATGGCGTCCGGTTCTTTTCGTGCCGCGCAGGTTTTGATGGCAATGTTGGAGCTGGCCCCGCCTAAAACAGTCCGAACACGATGATCATGCTTGGTAAAACTATGGTCCTGTCGACCAGCCAGCCCTGATCCGGATGATTGCGATGCATCCTGTGGCGTGTCGTCGGAAGGCCGACAGTACCCATGGCTGTGAGCATGCGCATGGGCCACGGTGTTTGCAATTTCTTGCATGGTCCAGTTTGGGTTTCCACCCTCATGCATGGCTGTACTCTCTGCCTGTGTGGCCGTTCTGTGGCTCGAGGCGCCTGCGAACGTTCGTTACTGTACGCTGTTCTTTTTGACGTGCCGCTCGTACGATGCTTCCTGCCATGCGCGACGTGTTCATGTGCAGCTCGTCGTGCGAGCTCATCGGCGGTGTCTACACGTACCCATCCTGGCAGACTCGCGCGCCGCAACTTCTGCGTGGAGTCGCTCCGCGAGTGCGCCGAGAAGGGCGTTGTGCTGGCACCTCTGGTTCCCAAGGTGGAGTCAGTCTCCGGTGGCGACAGCAGCTCGAGGAGGGGTCCTCGCAGCCCCTGCCCTGACATCGTGTCTGGATTCCATGGGCAGGGCGACTGTTGAGACGCGTGTGCGCTTCGACTTGAAGTCAGTCGGCTACGTTGCGCTCTGGGCGCCTACGGCGGCTAAAGAGTTCCGTCTCTGCCCTGTCTTCGGATGGGGACCTCTGCGTCACAGTGCGGCATCGTCAATGTCGAGGCTTTCGCCGTGCTCGCCTTCCCGTGAGCCCGCTGCCGCATGCCCTGGCAACTCCTGTGCGCGCGGTTGCTCAATCGTCGTCTTCTCCACGCCCTCTCCGTCGAATCGGGGGTGTGCAGTTCCTGTGGCGGGGGATGGAATAAAGGTAGAAGCTTCGGGTTTCGCAGTGCGCGCTTTGCCTGACGTTCGCGGTGCATGTAGATCGTTTTTGGGGTTGCTGCGGTTATGCTTTTGCTGGATTTGGCAACCATAAGTGTTCGGTCGTCCGTTCTTTCTTCTTCTTCTTCTTCTTTTCTTCTTCTTCTGAGTCTGATTATGATTATGACGATTCTTATTATTATCAGGGGCGGGGGTGGCAGGTGGCAGTGGTGTCCTGCGATCTCTGGTGGCCAGGGTTCCCGAGCCAGGAGCCTTCGGTCTGGACCCTGGGGGCCAGCCCCCCCCACCGATTTTGACGAGGCGTCCGCTCCCTTGGACGCTTTCCAGCGAGGGGCCCGACTCGCGCCAGACGAAGTGACTTTTCGCCATAGCCCTGCCTACCTACCTTATCCTCCTCGTCCTCGTCCTTCACTTCCTCTTCCTCCTCCTCTTCCTCCTCCTTCTCCTCCTCCTCCTCCTCCTCCTCCTCCTCCTCCTCCTCCTCCTCCCCCTCCTTCTTGGAGTCGCTGCTGTGGGGTAACATACAAGGTGTGGGGACATTCGTTGCTGCGTTCGCGCGCTCGGGGGAGACCTGACGATTCGACTGTATTATGCTTCCTCTGTGGAGGGTACCGTTCCAGCAGGGCGGCCAGCGCCAAGATGATAAGCAGCTGCAGGGGCGCCAGGGTTGGAGCGACGTATCGTGAGCAGTTGCGCCTTTTACCGACGGCTAGTTCCCGCGACACTGCACTGGTCGACCGACGCTGCATTTGCGCGCCCTGGGAAGCATACCGCTCGACGAAGAGTTATGGTTACGATCACTGTGGCGGCAGCTCTTGGTGGTTCCAGAGGACCGCGAGCAATCAGCGATGGAGCCCAGGACGGCCACCCCTTCTGTTGCACCCCAGGCGGCCGAGCAGCAGGACCGTCTTGTGATGCGGTGCTTTGGTCTGCTTGGGTGTGCGTTCGATTGAGTTGCTCAGTCAGGGGGCCGGGCTGCACGACGGGATGCCAGGCCCGAGAGAGGCCCGAGAGAGGCTCACTGAAGTTAGCCTGAATTAGTTTCACCGTCCTAGTCGCCACGAGCCACTCTATTCCTCCCCCCTCCTCCCTCCTCGCGGTCTGCCAGCACCTCCACCTCCTCCTCCTCCTCCTCCTCCTCCTCCCCTCCTTCTCCTCATCTTCCTCCTCTACCTCCTTCTCCGTCTCCTCCTCTTCCTCCTCCTCCTCCTCCTCTTGCTCCTCCTGTTCGTGCCTCCTTCCCCCGCCTCCCCCCCCCCCCACGCACACACACGCACCTACGAGCCCTTGGCGCGCAGGAGCTCTTCGACCAGCCCGTCCTGCCCTCCGCGGTGCCGCGCCTGCCCAGTTGGCGACATGGAAGGGAAGAGGAAAGAGGGGGCGGGCGAGGAGGGGGAGGCGAAGGAGGACGAGGAGGACAAGGAGGAGAAGGAGGCGGAGGAGGAGGTGGAGGAGGAGGAGGAGGGACTGGAGGAGGGGCGCTGAGGCGCTAAGGCGAGAGCCGCATGGTGAAAACGACCCGCCGTCAATCAGTGAAGCTCTGGCAAGTTCGTAGGACAACTGTGCGCGGTGCTCAGGCGAGAGCCACATTTTGAAAACCACCCGCCCTCAATCCATGAAACGCTTGCACATGTTTAAGACGAGTGTGCGCGGCGCTCTGGCGAGAGCTACATTTTGAACACCACCCGCCCTCCATCTGCGATGTAGTTGCCAGTTTCCAAGATTCAAGCTCATAGTAGTGAGGCAGTCTCAGACGGATGTGCGTGGCGCTAGTGCGAGAGCCACATGTTGAAAACCACCCGCCAGCCACCTGTGAAACTGTTGCCACATCTGAAGCTTCAGGATCACAGATGGTATGGAAGACTCAGGCGAAACGCCCAGCCCACCTTTCCGACTGGCCTCGGGGTGCGACAGGGCAGAATTCTGTAGAAGCAGAATGGACTGGATGATGATGATGATGATGATGATGAGGAGGAGGAGGAGGAGGAGGAGGAGCAGGAGGATGAGTAGGAATAGCACGAGAAGGAGGACACGACGGAGCATAATGAGGATAAGGATGAGGAGGAGCATGATGACGATGATTATGTTGCTGACGATGATGCTGCTGCTGATGATGAGGATGATGATGCATGCTGATGGTGATGCTGATGCTTGACAATGCTGATGCTGTTGATGATGCTGCTGATGACGATGACGATGCTGATGATGCTGATGCTGATGATGATGATGATGATGATGATGATGATGATGATTATGTTGATGATGATCGTGATTACGATTACGATGATGCTGATGATGATGATGATGATGATGCTGATGATGATGATGATGCAGCTGATGATGTTGATGATGCTGATGCTGATGATGCTGACGATTATGATGACTAAGATGCTGCTGATGATGATGATGATGATGATGATGATGATGATGATGATGATGATGATGATGCTGATGCTGACGATGCTGAGGATGCTGATGCGGATGATGATGATGCTGATGCTGATGATGCTGATGATGCTGAAGCTGATGATGCTGATGCTGCTGCTGATGCTGATGCTGCTGCTGATGATGATGGTGGTGATGAGATTGATGATCATTAGGATGTTGATGTTGATGCTGCTGATGATGATGATCATGATGATGCAGATGTCGATGATGATGCTTATGATGATGCAGATGATGCTGATGTTGATGATGACGAGGAGGAGGTGGTGGAGGAGGAGGAGGAGAAGGATTAGGAGGAGAATGCTGATGTGGATAGGAGGGAGGAGGAGAAGGAGGAGGAGGAGGAGGAGACCGAGGAGGAGGAAGAGGAGGAGGAGGACGAGGAGGATGGGGAGGAGGGGGAGGAGGACAAGCTAGGTGCGCTCGCGTCATATCTGACGTCCTACCCCACCCACCCATCCCTTACCATGGCGCTGAATTTCTCTACCGCGACGCGTGTCGTAGCGGACCTGTGGCTCCGCGCCGCGTGCGTAGTGGGTGGTGGTGCACTGCGTGCGTGGCGTGCGTGTTTGCGTGGTTTGTCGAGTGGGTGGTGTGGAGTAGTGGTGGTGTGGTGGTGTTGGTGAGGTGGTGGTGGTGGGTGCTGCTGGCGGTGTGGTGTGGTGGTGCTGGTGGAGGTGGTGTTGGACGGACTTTTGGTGCTGTGGTGTTGTGGTGGTGTGGTGGTGGTGGTGGTGTGCGGATGCGGCGCGGTGGTGGCGGGCGGATGGGCGCGCGAGAAAGAGGCCCGCGCTGGGGCGAGAACGCCATCCTGAACGACGGAGGCAAAACACCGATCCGAAAATGCGGCCCACGCTGCAGCGGGAGCACGATTCGGAACGATTCGGGAGCAGAAATGAGGCCGGCGCCTCAACGAGAGCAGCATTTGGGGAAAAAATGACGCCGGCGCCTCAGCGAGAGTCGTTTCCCGGGATTTCCCGGGCATCCTGTGTGTAAAAAAACAGTACGCGGAGGGTGCGCGGCCATCACCCGGACGCCATCAGGGAAGAGGGAGAGTATATTCATATTGAGTAATTGTGGAGGAGCGTCAATCGGGGCATTGAGAGCAGGATGATGATGATGATATGAATATGATGATGATAAATGAAATGATGATGATGATGATGATGATGATGATGATGATGATGATGATGATGATGATGATGATGATGATGATGATGCTGATGATGATGATGATGGTGATGGTGATGGTGATGGTGATGGTGATGGTGATGATGCTGATGCTGATGCTGATGCTGCTGATGATGGTGATGGTGATTGTGATGGTGATGGTGATGGTTGTGGTGGTGGTGATGGTGATGATTAGGATGCTGATGACGATGATGACGACGAGGATGATGATTATGATTATGATGATGATGCTGATGATGCTGATGAGGATGCTGATGATGATGCTGCTGATGATGATTCTGATGCTGATGCGGCTGATGATGATGCTGATGATGATGATGATGATGATGACGATGAGGAGGAGGAGGAGGTGGAGGAGGAGGAGGCGGAGGAGGAGGAGGAGGAGGACCTGTGTAAGCCCAAGAGTCATCAACAATGTTGGAGTAAACCCTCCCTCCGTGCTCCTTCTTTATCGGCCCCTACACGGGTTCATTTCCATTGATGGAACTGGCTCGTTGGAAGACACCCGTTTGAAGACCCTGAAGCATGCCAAACCGTTCGTTTCCGGAATCGTGTCAGAGCGCCATTCCTAGGAATTCAACACAGAGAACCAGCGTAACTGTTGCACCTGCATAATCATGAATTCTTCCAAGACGCCGTTCCTGGTACGTTGATGATGGGAATTCGTGAAACTCTTGCAAATGTTTAAAACGAGTGTGCGCGGCGCTAAGGCGAGAGCCACATAAAAAAAAACACCCGCCCTCAATCCGTGAAAGTCTTGCAACTTGTAAAACGAATATTCGCCTCGCTGAGGCGAGAGCCACATTTTGAACACGACCCGCCCTCCAATCCGTGAAGCTCTTGCAAAGGTTGAAACGAATGTGCGCCGCGCTAAAGCGATAGCCACATTTTGAGAACGACCCGCCCTCAATCCGTGAAACGCCTGCAAATTTTGAGAACGAATGTGCGCGGCGCTAAGGCGAGTTTCTTGTGTGTGAAAACGGCCCGCCCTCAATCCGTGCAGCTCTTGCAAATGTTAGAACGAATGTGCGCCGAGCTAAGGCGGGAGCCACATTTTGAAAAAGGCCCGCCCTCCATCTGTGAAAGTGTTGCCAATTTGAAGGTCCAGAGTCATACATGATGAGGACGTCTCAGGCGAAACGCCC